CTCTGTTAAATTTGCCAGTGGTTTGTCAATTTTATTAATCTTTTCAAAGATCCAACTTCTAGTCTTGATTATTTCTATTGTCTTTTGTCTTTTTGTCTATTGTCTTTCTGTTTCCTATTTCATTTATTTCTTCTCAAATCTTTATTATTTTATTTCTTCTGGTGACTGTAGGCTTTTTTTGCTGCTCTTTTTCTAATTGTTGGAGATTTTCGGTTAAGGTGTGGATTTTGGCTCTCTCTTTTTTGATGTGTGCATTTATTGCTATAAATTGGCTTCTGATCACTGCTTTTGCTGTGTCCCAAAGATTTTGGTATGTTATGTTTTCATTCTTGTTTGATTCAAGGAATTTTTTATTTTATTCTTTATTTCTTCTATTACCCAGCATTTTTCAAGGAGGTTGTTTTTCAGTTTCCATGTGTTTGCTCTTTTTCTGTTCATCTTTCTATTGTTGATTTCTAATTTTACAGCATTGTGATCAGAGAAGATGCTTTGCAGGTTTTCAGTGTTTTTGAATTTATTGAGGCTTGCTTTGTGGCCTAACATAGGGTCTATCCTGGGCAGTGATCCATGTGCACTGGAAAAGAATGTATATTGTGCTGTTGTTTGGTGAAGTGCTCTGTACATGTTTATAAGGTCACATAGGTGGATTGTATTGTTTAATTCTTCTGTGTCTTTGTTGAGTTTCTATCCAGTTGTTCTATCTGTGATTGAAAGTGGTATATTAAAGTCTCCTACTATGACTGTGGAGTCATTTATTTCTCTTTTCAGTTCTGTTATAGTCTGGTTTATGTATTTTGGGGCTCTCTCATTGAGTGCATAGATATTTACTGTTATCATGTCATCTTGTTCAGTCAAGCCTTTATTCATTATGTAGTACCCTTCCTTGTCTCTTATGGTGGTTTTTGTCCTAAAGTCAATTTTATCAGAAATTAATATCGCCATTCCTGCTGTTTTATGATTGCCATTTGCTTGATACATCTTTTTCCAACCTTTGATTTTTAGTCCATTTTTGTCTTTGTCTCTGAGGTGTGTCTCTTATAGACAGCATAATGATGGGTTCTATTTTCTTATCCAGTGTGCAGTTCTCCGTCTCTTTGAGTGGTGCGTTTATTCCATTGACATTCAGTGTAATTATCAACAAGTATGAATTTGTTGCAGTCATTTTGTTGTGTTCTTTTTTATGGTGTTGCTGATTTCTTTGTTCTATGTAATTTTCTCTGTTGACCTCATTTTGTTTGTGAATTGTGTCATCACCTCCTTTTTAAACTTTCCTTAAAATACAATTTTCATAACCTTTATCACAGTTTATAATTTTTAAATGTATTTGTTAGGTTGTTAGGTGCTGTGTCGTTTTTGTTAGGTGCCATCAAGTTGGTTCCGATGCACAGTAATCTTATGTACAACAGAAAGGAACACTGCCTGGTCCTGTGCCATCCTCACAATCATTGCTATGATTGAGTTCATTGTTTCAGCCACTGTGTCAATCCTTTTCACTGAGGATCTTCCCCTGTTTTGCTGACCCTCTACTTTATGTACATGATAACCTCCAGGGAATGGTCCCTCCTGACAACATGACCAAAGTATGACAGGCAAAGCCTCACCATCCTCTCTTCTAAGGATCATTTGGCTAAACTTTTTAACAAATTTGTTTGTTCTTCTGGCAGTCCATGATATACTCAATATTCTTTGCAAATACCACTATTCAAAGGCATCATTTCTTTGGTTTACCCTATTCATTGTTTGGCTTTTGCATGTATATGAGGCAATAGAAAATAATAGATGTACCTTAGTCTTTCAGACTTTAAAAAAGTCTTTTGCAGCAGATTTGCCCAGTGCAATTTACCATTTTGTTTCTTGACTCCTGCTTTAATGGGCATTGATTGTGGATCCAAGTGAAATTAAATCCTTGACAGATTCAGTCTTTTCACCAGTTTTCATGATGTTGCTTATTGGTCAAGTTGTAAGGATTTTTGTTTTCTTTATGTTGCAGTATCATCCATACTGAATGTTATAGTCTTAGATCTTCATCAGTAAGTGATTCAATTTCTCTTCACTTTCAGCAAGCCAGGTTATGCCATCTGCATATCTCAGGTTGTTAATGAGACTCCTTCCAATCCTAGTGCCACATTCTTCTTCAGGTAATCTACTTTATCAGATTGAATAATATATATACAATATACAGATTGAATAAGTATGGTAAAAGGACATAACCCTGGCACATGCTTTTCCTGATTTTAAACCATGCAGTATTCCCTTGTTCTGTTCGAATAACTGCCTCTTAGTCTATTATAGGTTCTTCATAAGCACATGTAGATGTTCTGGAATTCCCATTGTTTGCAGTGTTAACCATAATTTGTTACGATTCACATGGTCAAATGCATCAGTGTCACTTGTGTCAATAAGACACAAGCATCTCTTTGATATTCAGCCAAGACCCATATGACATCAGCAATGATATCTCTCGTTCCACACCCTCTTCTGAATCCAGCTTGAATTTCTGGAAGTTCTCTATTATTACTGCAGCCATTTTTGAATTATTTTCAGCAAAATTTTACTTGCATGTGATATTAATGATACAGTTCAGTATTTTTCTCATTCCATTGGATCATCTTTCTTTGGAATGGCAGAAATATGAATCTGTTCCAGTCATTTGGCCAAGTAACTCTTCTTTCTAGTTTTTTGGCATAGATGAGTATGCAATTCCAGTGTTTTACATCTATTTATTGAAACATCTTAGTTGATATTTCATCATTTCCTTCAGCCCTCTTTTTCACCAATTCTTTTAGTGAAGCTTGGACTTCTTCCTTCAATACCATCAGTTCTTGATCACATGCTACCGTATAAAATAGTTGAATGACCAGTTCCTTTTAGTACAGTGACTGTGTATTCCTTTGACACTTCCTGTGACATTAAATGTTTTGTCCATAGACTCCTTCAACATTGCAATTTGAGGCTTGAATTTTTTTCTTCATTTTTTTCAGCTTGAGAAATGCAGAGGTTGTTCTTCCCTTTTGCTTTTTCTAACTCCAAATGTTTGTACATTTCATTATAATACTTTGTCTTCTTGAGCTGCCCCTTGAAATCATCTGTTCAGCTCTTTTACATCTTTATTGCTTCTGTTCACTTTAGTTACTCTACCTTCAAGAGCAAATTTAAATTTCAGAGTCTCTTTTTACATCCATTTTGGTATTTTGTTTCTTCATGTATAATGTTGATTTCATCCCATAACTCCTCTTGTCTTCTGTTACTGAAATAAGTTTTTTACACAGTTACAGTGTGTCAAATCTGTTTTTGAGATGATCTCTAAATTCAAGTGGGATATACTTAAGGTCATACTTTGGTTGTTATGGTCATGTTTCAGTTTTCTTCCGTTTCAGCTTGAACTTGCATGGTCTGTTCCACAGTCAGCCCCTCGCCTTGTTCTGACTCATGGTACTGAGTTCCTCCATCTTTTTCAACAGATATGGTCGATTCAAGTTTTTCCATCTGGAGAGGTCCAGGTGTATAGTCCATTTATGTTGTTGGAAAAAAAAGTATTGGTAATAAATAAATCCTTAGTCTTGGGGCAAAATTCTGTTATGTAATCTCCTGGGTCATTTCTATGACCAAGGCCATATTTTCCATACCAGTGCTTCATTTTCCAGCTTTTGCATTCCATTTACCAGTAATTATCAATTATTTTTATTGCATTTTTTATTCATTTCAGACTGCAAAAGTTGGTAAAATTCTAAAGTTTCTTCATCATTGGCTTCAGTGGTTGATGCATAAATTTGAATAATAGTTGTATTAACTGGTCATCTTTGTATATATATATATATGGATATTATCTTATCACTGACAGCATTGTACTTAATGATAGATCTTGAAACACTCTTTGACTATGAATATGATGTCATTCCTCTTTAGTTTGTTTTTCCTGGCATAGTAGAACATGTGATTGGCTGATTGAAAATGGCCAATACCAGTACATTTCAGCTCACTAATGTGTAGGATACCAGTCTTTATGCATCATTCTGTTTCATATTTTACAGTTTCCAATTTTCCTAGATTTATGCTCCATACATTCCATGTTTTGATTATTAATGGTTGTTTACAGATGTTTCTTCTCATTTTGAGTCATGCCACATCAGCATGATGGTCCCAAAAGCTTTACTTCATCCATGTCATTAAGGTTGATTCTATTTTTAGGAGGCAGCTCTTTCCCAGTTGTATTTTGAGTGTCTTCCAACCTGAGGGGCTCATCTTCTAGCACTATATCAGACAGTGTTTCACTGCTGTTCTTAATATTTTCAGTGGCCAGTTTTTGCAGAAGTATACGGCCGTGTATTGTTTCCTTCTCCATCTTAGTTTAGAAGCTTCACTGAAACCTGTCCACCATGGGTGACCCTGTTAGTATTTGAAATACCATGACATTGCTTCCAGCATTGCAGCAATGTGTGAGCCACCACAGTATGACAAACGGATAGATGAATGGTGGTAAGCTTATTTAGTTTCTGTTTACTCTCATAAGTACATATATGAGTATGAAGTAAATCAGTTTAAGAGAGCTGTATATGCTTCTTGTGTAAATGTGTTATACATAAGAATCACCTGGGGGTCTTGTTAAAGTATAGATTCAGATTCAGTATAACTGAGGGGAGAGGTGCAAATTCTCAGCAGGGGTTCCAACCAGAATGAATGAATTCAAAGACCTTCCCACCACCACCACCACCCCAACTGGATTTTGAAGGGTTAAGGCAGGTAGTTTAGAGCCCCTCTGATCCAGAGAACAGGTACGATATGGTAAAAATTTTTGAAAAGGATGAGTTAGGCAGTGACCTTGATTAGTGGTACCTGAGGCATGGCAGTGAGTGATAAAAAGCAATTGATGCTTTTAATTCCATCCTGGTTCTATGTGTCAGGGTTCCAAAATCCTGAGTTGTCTAGGAGGGAATTACAAAGCAAGTAATCTTCAGGGTAATTATATACTTTATTGATAATGAAGCTATCTTATTCCATAGCTCTTGGATAAGCACAAGAATACAGAGAGCATGGTGGAACTTCTGGAGTTGTATCAGATGGAGGATGAAGCCTACAGCAGCCTTGCAGAAGCCACAACTGAACTCTATCAGTATTTACTACAGCCATTCAGAGACATGAGAGAACTTGCCATGCTGCGAAGACAGCAAATCAAGGTATTATTATTTTTTAATAGTAGACTGCCTGTTTCATAATTCTCAGCCTAACTGGCTATGTGTGTCCCTTAACTAATGAATCAAGATGTAGAACAAGATGGATTTACCCTCAAGATTGACACTCTATTCCTTGTTAATACTTTTGAATAGCATTTGCTTGTCAGATAATTTTATATCATAAACTTGACATTTTGGTTAAAATGATGTTGTTTAAGTAAGAATTGTTAAGACACTGCAGTTTCCTTCAGTTTTTAGTAAATGAACTATAGATATTTATCCATTGACAATTAGAGGGCCAGGAATAAACTAGATGACATGGAGGCTCTATTTCTAGACTCTGCTGCCATGTTTAGCAAACAAAAATTATATAGCTCAGCAATGACAATCCAGAATCTATATGAATTTTTACTTTTATATTTTTGTATTGGATATTAACATTAGGAAATTGATTAAACCTTCTTGTCAGGCTGTGTATTGTCCACAAGCATCACTTATTTGCTCCTTTTTTTCCTAGGAAGCATGGTATAGGTGAGGAGGAAGAGATCATATACTTTAAAAATATGTCACTTTTCTTTTTTTCCTTTATAGTATAGATCTAATTTTACTGCATTTCTTTTTCTAAGATTTTGGTTTTCACATGTTCATCAATCATGACCACTCATTGTTTAGCTTTCTTGGAAACTTTCTAATAGTATATTTGTAGTAAATAGCAAGTAATTCTTTTCAGTCACCCTAAAAAGCAAACAGACAACAAACAAAAAAATCCAAACCCACTGCCATCACGTTGATTCTGACTCATAGCAACTCTATAGAACAGGGTGGAGCTGCTCCGTAGGGTTTCCAAGGCTGTAAATGTTTATGGATGCAGACTTGCCTCATCTTTCTCCGTGGAACAGCTGGTAGGTTCAAACTTCTGACCTTTTGGTTAGCAGCAAATGCCTTAACAATTGTGTCATCAGAGCTCCATAATAGGTTAGTAATAATAGCTGTCATTGCTGCCTTCATACAGTGTGTCAGATTGTGTAAAGTGGTACTTTTGTGTAAATTTGCTCAGTCTTCACAACAACCCTGTAAGTAAGTGTGTTTAACATCCTGCTTTATAAATAACTGGAATAATTTATTTGACTTGTTCATAGCTAGCTAGTAAGTGGTGGAACTGTACTGTATTCAAATTTAAGTCTTCCATTTAAAAAAAAATGTTCGTTTTCACTGCATTGTTGGCTACTAGTTATTTTTAAGTTAGAAAATCCATGCTTATTTTTTTAATTTTAGCAGTGTTCCCTCCTCTCCTCTTCTACCCCTGGTAACCAACAAAGAAAAGTTCCTTCCATATAGAAACCTTTCCTTGACTTTTTACAATAATGAACTAATATATTTGTCCTTCACAGAAATATTTTAGTTGTTAATAACATAATTATAGCCAACTAGCTTATAATTGAGGAACTCTGGTAACGCAGTGCTTAAGACACTTGACTGCCAACCAGAAGGCTGGTGGTTCAAACCCACCAGCCACTCCTCGGAAAGAAGATTGAGCAATCCACTTCCGTAGTGATACCACCTCAGAAACCCAGGGAGGGGTCGCTGTCTGACTCAACGCACATAACAACAACTTATAATTGGAGCAGTTGTTTCTAATGTGAACTGTACTTGTTTTACTAATTTACACTCACAGTATCAATGCAGATACCTTCCTGACAAACACCTCATTAATCTTTTTAGTTCTGCTTGGTGTTTTTTGTGTTACCAAAAGACAGAATTAGTACCTAAAACAGAGTGAGGTACATAGCCTGTTTCACCCTGACAGTAGGTATTGGTTATGATGTCCGCAGTGGACACTGATCTAGTCAGTCATCAGTGAAGGAAACTATGATGAAAGGTAGGAAAGGTAATTGAGTGTATACGTATGCCTGTTGTGCTATCAGGAGCTCTGGTAGCATAGTGCCTGAGGCACTTTACTGCTAACCAAAAGGCTGGTGGTTCAAACCCACCAGCCACTCCTCGGAAGGAAGATGGGGCAATCTACTTCCGTAGAGGTACCGCCTCAGAAACCCAAGGAGGGGTCACTATGAGTCAGGTCCAACTCGACAGCACATAACAACAACAACATCAACAATTGTGCTATCAATATTCAGACTTATTCTGGGGGTATATTATTTTCTTAAGTGAAGATAAGGATTTACACTGAACTAATGGTTGATTAGGAGCTCTGGTAGCATAGTGCCTAAGGCACTTGACTGCTAACCAGAAGGCTGGCGGTTCAAACCCATCAGCCACTCCTCGGAAGGAAGGTTGGGCAGTCCTACTTCCATAGTGATACTGCCTCGGAAACCCAAGGAGGGCTTGCTATGAGTCAGGGCTGACTTGACGGCATATAACAACAACAACAATGGTTGATTAAAGCATTTTTCTAAAGAAGTAGCTTACAAGCATTTTTATTAATCCCAGTTGCCAGTATATTCTGTGAAACCATGCCCCAGAAATGATGGACCTATGTGGAATCTAAGCTTGGCAGAACACTCTGGGGGGACTGATTTGGTTCTGTGGTTTTTCTTTTCCTGATGATTTTTTTGTTCCTTATGTCTTAACCATTTTTTTCTGAGAAGTGAACAGCATTAGACCTGTGAAATTTCTAACTGAACCCTTGGCAAGATATCAAGTTAAAGCTGTGCTTATAGAAATATTTATAGCTTATTAAATGCTTACATTAGAGAAGAAACAGACTAAAAATCAATTTTCTAAGCTTTTACTCTCAGAAGTTACAAAAACAAAGGGGAGCAAATTAAACCTAAAGTTCAGTAAGAGTTAAAAAAAGAAAACTTAGATGTGGAAGTCTGTGAAATAGGAAACAGACAAGGAGAGAGAAAAATTAATGAAACAAAATCCTGTTGTTTTCAAATAAAGAAATTTTAGAAACCTCTGGCTAAATTGATCAGGAAAAAAAGAGAGCCACATATTATCACTATCTGGAATGAAGGTACAGACATCACTACAGATGCTACAGCTATTGAAAGGTTAATAAAGGAATATGAACACCTTTGTGCAATAAATTCTACAACTTAGGTGAAATGGACATACTTATAAAAATACACATTATCAAGATAGATCAAAGGAGAGAGAAAATTTTTAGTAACTTTATATTTAATAACAAGATTGAATTTATAATTTAAAACCTTCTCAGAAATAAAACTTCAGGCTCAGATAACATCATTGTAAGATTCTGTCAAACATTTAAAGAAGAAATAATGCCAGTCCCACACAAATTCTTTCAGAAATTAGAGAATGGAACATTTCCCAACACTTTTTATGAGGCCAGCCTTATCCTAATACCAAAATCAAATGAAGACATTACACAGGAAAAATAAAACCACAGATTAATATCCTTCATTAATGTAGGTAGACACAGTAATCCTTAACAAAATGAAACCAAATGGAATCTATTAATCTATGAAAATGATAATGTATATTATGACTGAGTAGGGATTATCTCAGAAATGCAAGGTTGATTTAACATTTAAAAAGTAAATCAATGCTGCCTTCTAGTTTTTGTGTAGTCCGTACGGTCTTAAAAGCTTGCAGGCAGATATCCAAGGCACAACAGTTGGTTTCTATTTCCCTTTAGCAACAGGGGAAGGAGAGGCAGGCATAGGAGGAGGAAATGAAGTGTGTGCCTAATTGCTGCCATGAACAACTACACACCCTTTGCCATGAGACTAAGAACTGAATGGTGCACAGCTACCATTAGTCAACATTTTGATAAAATATTCTCTAGAAAAGAACCCTGATCAAAAGGAAGAAATGCAGAACAGAATTTCAAATTCTTATGGAATCTAGAATTTCTGGATCAAATACAGTATATTGTCAGGGAACTTCCAGAAATGCAAGCTGGATTCAGAAGAGGATGCGGAATGAGGGATATCAGTGCTGATATCATATGGCTCTTGGCTGAAAGCAAAGAATACCAGAAAGATGTTTGTGATAGTTGGAGCTGTGTGTCAACTTGGCTAGACCACAATTCTGAGTGGTTTAAGCAGTTGTGATGCTTCCAATACATTTATGGACATCCTGGGAGAAGAGACACTCGTCTGTGGACTGGGATCCTGTTGTGCTGCCTACAACTGTCTGTGAGCAAACAATCCACCATTCAGCCTGGAGATCTTGGATTCATCATTCATTGGAGTCAACAGCCAGTATACTGCCTGCCAGCCTTGAGCTCGTCAGCCCCTGCAGGTTGGGAAAAACCTCCAGCTTGACATTTGATCCAAGAACTTGGGCCTTGCCAGCTTCTGTAAGTGTGTGAGCCATTTTCCTAAGATAGATTTATCTTTCACTATATGTATGTATAAGCTTTACTGTTTTTGCTTGTCTAGAGAACCCAGTCTAACACAATGTTACTTGAGTTTTACTGACTGTGCAAAGGCATTCGATTGTGTGGATCATAACAAATTATGGATAACATTGAGAAGAATGGGAATTCCAGAACACTTAATTGTACTCATGAGGAACCTGTACACAGACAAAGAGGCTGTTGTTTGAACAGAACGAAGGGACACTGCATGGTTTAAAATCAAGAAAGGAGAGCATCAGGGTTGTGTCCTTTCACTATACTTATTCCATCTGTATGCTGAGCATATAATCTGAGAAGCTGAACTATATGAAGAAGAACATGGCATCTAGATTGGAGGAAGACTCATTAACAACTTGTGAGACGCAGGCAACACAACTTTACTTGCTGAAAGTGAGGATGACTTAAAGCACGTACTGATGAAGATTGAAGACTATAGTCTGCGGTATGGATTACACTTCAATACAAAGAAAACAAAAATCCTCACAACTGGACCAATAAGCTGCGTCACAATAAATGGAGAAGAGATTGAAGTTGTCAGAGACTTCATATTACTTGCTTCTACAATCAACACCAATGGACACAACAGTCAAAACATAAGACAACATATTGCATTGGGTAAATCTGCTGCAAAAACCCTCTTTCAAGGGCTGAAGAG